AGTATATGATTATTTTTTATATAAATATTCTTACTCGTGTGACTACACAAGGTTGGTAAAACTTTATTCAATACAGAAACAACATTTTCAATTGGCTTCATGAAGTTTTACTATATTTTATATGGAGATTTTCCCAGATAAAAATCATTTGGCTTTCTAGACTTGTAGTGGATTGGGAAATACGATTGTACCTATTTGCATATCTTAAGTAGAAGAAATAAAGTGTATAGTAAAGCAAGAGACAGGCGAAAGTTCACTACTGATCACATGCCGTAGAACAATACAATATAACAATATGGCGTCGCCGATAGGATGTTTAAGTTTAATGAACTAAATTTTGTCGAGTCTTGGATCCGGTGTTTCGCAGCCCAGGATAGGGATAAAAAATGAAAGACAACAAGAGGACGAGAAAATGAAATAACTGACCTTTTTCTAGCTTCAGCAGGTCGTGAAGCTATAATGAAAATTTATGTTATGGCATATCCCAAAAAACTGGGAAATTTGACTTTCGTCGAAATTTTAGTAATTCTAAAAAGAAATTTACGACCTAAAAAAATTGTCATAGTGGAAAGAGGCAAATTTCTGTCCATTAAGCAGAAGCAAGATGAATCAATTATACAATATCTTCACAGATTAAGAGAAGCTAGCAGATTCTACGAGGTTGAGAAACGGAGATTTCAAGATTTAACTATTGAGGATAAATTGATTCAATTACAGTTCATTGAAGGTATGGCTGATACATTTCATAACTATAAAATAGTGGAACAATAGCAATTGAATAATTTGTCTTTAACTGCATGTGTGGAACTTATACAACATTTGGAATTGATTAAAAAATATAATTCTACTGAGGACAATCTTTTTTTAGCGTACAGCATAAAAAAAGAACGCAAGAAATGCAAATACTGTAAGAATGGGCATAAAAGTGACAGAAAAAAAATGCCCCGCTTTTGGAAAGATTTACCATAACTGAAGAAGAAAAAAAAAACATTTTCAGTCCGTGTGAAAAGTTAAAAAGAAAATAGACACAATAGAATAGGCGTAAATCATAAAATAATCTCGTATGATTTCCCTATTCCCAATGTGGAATTCGCTATCCAGAAATTATCGAAATGTTTTGCAAAAATTGATTTAAAATCGGCCTCTAATCAAATACCGATTGACGATAAATTCAAGGAAATTACCACAATAAACACCTCCATAGAATTATTAAGATATACGAGAAGGCCTTTTGGAGTGAAATAGGCAAATGCCATTTTTCAGAGACCAATGGAAAACATGTTAACTGACAAAATCAGTAATATGATTATTTATCAAGATGATATTTTCCTTGGTGATATTACTAAAGATGAATTAAGACAAAAAACATGTGTTAAACAAGTTGTTATAGACAAGCGTATGGTTGCAAGAAGGAAATACGACAACAGCAGAAATAGGTTTACGTGGTTTATTTCAACAGGAACGTGAGGGTTTAGGACAGCTACTTTGTGGTATAGTTTATAAGCCGGCTTCGGATCTAGGTCGATCTCTCATAGTAGTTCACACATGTTGACGGTGGTTGATGCTCCCCTGCTGACAGCTTCTGACCGCTCGGCCTGACCGTGACAGGTCTGTTCCCTGGCCACCTGTGACTGCCTGTTGAACTTCCGTGTGACCCCTTTTATAGCGTTTGTTTATGGCTTAACAGGCTCGAAAAACGAAGCGAGTATAATTAGGAGGGAAGCATTTTTATTGGACGAAAAATAGAACACTTTAAATATTATTTTATTTCTCGACCGGAACTTGTGTGACGGGAACATTTGTAAACGAAGATAATGGTCATTTTGTGACGGGGCATTGTCCCGTTCACACCCGGCTCTTGCTCTTGAGTATTTGCCTGTAAATCAATGTCTTATTTTAATTTATAACAAAGTTAAGAAATGCGGGGTTTAAAATAAACAGAGACAAATGTGAATTTGATTGTGATACAATATCATATTTAGGGTAACAAATTTTAAAAAAAATGACGTTGCACCAGATACAATCATAATTAAAGAAATTTTAGAGACATCTATACCTACAAATAAAAAAAAGAATTAGAATCCTTTTTAGGGTTGATTATTTTTTTTTATAGTAGATCCCCACAAAAATACAGCGATTTAATAGAACCATTTGCTGAACTGAGGAAAAGAATAGTGAGTTCAAATGGACTCAAAGACAAAGCTTAGCGTTCAAAGATTTGAAAGAGTTACTCGAAGAAAAACCCATTGTAAAAATCTTTGATCCCAGAAGGCAGGTTACGTTAACTACGCATGGGGGTGAGCCAGCTGTGGTAGCAATTCTATCGCAAGAAGGCCAAACAATAATGTAACTTTCAAGAAGATTGACGGCAGCAGAAATAAATTAATAAAATAAAAAAGTGGCATTGGCCATTGTCTGGAGCACAGGCAGAGCTCAACAGTTTTTATTCGGTAAGAAATTCCTATTAAAGTCATACTATAAACCTCTAGAGTTTAATCTTAACCGTAGAAAGGAACTACCAAAAGTTACTTCTTTCAAGATTGCTAAGGTGAGCAATAAAATTAATGGCTTATTTAGTACGTAAAAGGAAATACAATGCCACATGTCGATGCGATGTCAATGTTACAATTACACAAGAATCAAATAAAAAATCTAGAAAGAAGAAATATTACATTGGGTTGAAACTGACGTATTATCTCTACAAAGATTGGTATCGAAAACTTCACAGGATCCAATAATTATCAAGATTGCTGAGAGAATAAAAAGAAACAGGTGTAGTGATTGCTGAAAGACCTTATAAAGAAATAAGACATAAAGTAACGATGGAAAATGGTGCTATATACAATGAAGATATGATAGTAGCACAAGAAACAGTAAGGAAATATATTATAAAATTGTGCATGATGTTGTGCATAGTGGGATAACTGTTATACCAGAACATTACCTATTCTATTGTAATAGACTCTCCCACACATAATAAGTAGTAGTAGTAGTAGTAGCGGTCGCTAGTTGAGCTCAGTGGAGTTGAGTGAGTCAGTCGATGTCGGACATTGAAGTATCAACCATCACAACTAGATTGCTGCGTCATTAACTCTTATTTCAAGTTCCTAACGTCGGGCCCTTTTAGGACCGACTTAGCGAAATACAAGCCTCCACTGTGAAAACTACTCTACAACAATAACGGCTACACGGAGGAGATTAAAATTGGAGGCATGGTGGCCAGGGTATTATCGCGATATAGAAAGATATGTACACAAATACCCAAAATATGCAGAAATAAAGAATTTTCGACAAAGAATATACTCAAGGCCTAAAAAACAGAATCATAGTCTATGGAGTGACGTCATTAAGCGTCCGTCACATGACCCAAGAGACTTATTTCCACCAAAGGGAGATAAGAGCTTTCTGTATCCTTAAAAATAGAATATGGTCTGCCGCTGGAAACGTTCAGAAAACAAAAATTAAATCGTTTTGGTTTGGACAAACTTTTGTATATTTACTGAATTCATTTTCTACTCGGATGCTGGTGGTTTGCTCACAGTATACGTCCTGGATTATTCTAATAATCTTCTCGAATATGGTAACATTCGCTGTGCGCCATTGGACCCATTTTTCTCCTGGTTCATTACTAGCTCTCTACGTTGACCTTCTTGCTTCCCTAACAAGTTTTGTTACGGAACTGTTACATGCTTTTTGCGCTACTCTATGGCAGTAAATGTTAAACAATTTCCTGAAAGATGAAGAGAACACATGAAACAAGAGAAATATGGTTCTACAGAAAGATTCTGGGGATACCATGGACTAAACATGGGAACTTAACGGACGCATTTTTTAATCTACACCGTTTCCAAGAACTCAAAGAATATGGTCTGCCACCAGAAGTGTTCAGAAAAAAATACAATCGTTTTTTGTTTGGACAAGCGTAAAGTAAGCAATGACTTACAGCCTTCCATCCTAAATTTCGATATCCTTTGGAGGGAATGATTAATTGTTTTTCTTTACGGGTTAAAACCAGGAAGTATTTTTTAGAGTGTAAGAATTTTTTGGTGATAGTAATGATTTACTGATACAAGTCCTACTATTTAACTGTTATGCAAAAACAAACCTATTCTATAATTAATAGACTTCCCCACCTAATATAAGTAGGAGTAGTAATAGAAATGGGAGTCAGTCAGTCGCTTTCTCGACCGACTGTTCGGTTCAACTCTCTGTCTATGGACGGAGAGGAACCCGAAGGAGGCTACGCCGAAGGGCGGATTCTCCTTCAGGGAGGCAAAACCGGCCCTGAACCCGTTTATACGGGTTCAAACGGGCATATTTTTGGGCCGAGCCCACGGGCTCGGGAAACCCACAATAAATATCCGACCATGTGTCACATGTTGCCCCAGTGGGATGGAGACTGTATACTGTCAGTCAGTCGCTCACTTTCTGAGCGACTGTTCGGTTCAACTCTCTGTCTACGGACGGGAGGAACCCAAAGGAGGCTACGCCGAAGGGCGAAGTCTCCTTCGGGGAGGTAAAACTGGCCCTGAACCCGTTTATATGTGTTCAATGGGCATATTTTTGGCCGAGCCCACGGAATGCCCACGTTAAAAAGGCCTTGTGCCACATGACACCCTCGTGAGGGGGGGTGACTGAATATCGCCAGTCAGTCAGTTGGTCAGGCAGTCAGTCAGTAAGTCGATGTCGGACGACAGTTAGTCGAATACGAAAGTATCAGCGACCACAACTAGATTTACTATGCGTAATAATTATTATATCAAGTTCCTAACGTTTTGTACGTCGAACCTATTTTAGGACCGACTAAGTACAAATACAAGCCTCCACTGCGAAATCACTCCACAACATTAACCCATACCTTGGGGAAAGAGTTGGATTCATACCGTTCCCTAGAGTATTTGCGCTTAAATGAATAGAACGATTCCCACTGGAATAGGAACTCGGTTTTTCGATTTCCAAATCTGAGCCGTTTATTCATTACATCGCTGATCCTAGTTTATAGCACCTGTTATTTTCAAGCGTTCATCCTTCTAGGTACTAACCAGGCTCGACGTTGCTTAACTTCGGTGATCGTACGAGAATCGATGTTTAAACTTGGTATGGCGATATCATTTGGACAGTCTAAGTGAGGAATATGAAATGGCCAGAACCGTAGAACCAGAACAGATACTACACACTGTATTTACTTGACACCCCACTGAGGTTTTTAACGTGGGGACTGGAGTATCTTCACGCGGGCCGCTGCTCTAAGCTGGTCATAGCTTGTCCAAACTGGTCAGAGCTGGTCTAAGCTAGTCATAGCTGATACAAGCTGGTCAGAGCAGGTCCAAGCTAGTCATACTGTGATACTACTGTGCTGCGTGTTTTTAGCGCATATATCTATTGTACATTTAACGATTCAAGAAAAAATAACGAAACTCCATATGTGGATCAACAAATAAATATATTGAAATATAACATAAAAAACAATCATGCAATGAAGTGTAATGATTAAGGAGAAAAAAAGTTGTTCCCTTTCAACTGTATTCTGATTTATGATTGAATGTTCGAAAGAGTATCTCTTGAATAAGAATGTTCAGGATTCTATGTTGAATAAGAGTCTGCTGTTAGAATAGAATACAGTTAATTAAGAAATATGTTGTTTTGAGAAATTAATAGAGTTCTGGTTCATGAACTTGGCTGAGTCACAGAGAAAGATATGTATAACGTGTTACAAAAATCTGTGTCTGTGTGTGCATTTGAAATGTTGTGAGTAAAGTCGTAGATTTGTGTGGACAGGCGAAAATAGCTGGACTCTGCTGACGACTTGCGAGAAAGTCGGTAAGAGTTGTTGGCAATGTCTTTAACGTCTGACCGTACGGTTAAGATGGGAGCTCTTGAAGATTACATCTTGGCAGCAAGGAAAAAGATGACTGAAGAGAAACACGAGAAAGGCTTATTCATGTTTTGTTTATATAAGTTTCTGTCTCACGTGACAGGTTCCATCCTTTTGCGCGTGCAGGCGATTTGATTGGTCGGAATTGACCAATCAGCAAGCTAGTTTTGAGGAGATTAGCCAATGAATGCTTGCCGTATGATCTGTATGTATGTATGTGTGTGTGATGGCGATGATGATCGCTACACTACCAGCGCAGGGACGGATCCCTGCGACCGGCAAGTATCCGAATGTGTATACCACTCGAGGGAGGGGTTTACGCACTCAAACAGATACTACACACTCATTCTGATGTTCTTGCTTTAATGCTTCCGTCTCTTATTGTGGTTTTCCCTCTCCTAAGTGGTTTTTGCACGCATTTGCATACTTGAAATTATTCTCAGCTCTTTTAAACCTGTCGTTAACACAAGATAGTTTACGAGCGTGCCTTTCAGGGAGTTTGACAATAACAAATAAAAATTTCGACTATGCTTCCGTCTTTATTGTGGTTTTCCCTGTCAAATAAACTATTTAAAATATTCACTCTTTTGTTTTCAAGATTTTACTGAAGAGAATAGTCAAATAAAATTTAAAAAATTACTTTTCTGGGAATACTTTCTGGGCTTTTTGTATGATATTATTTTCTTGTGAAAGACTAGACACAGAATTCTAGATTGCTCGCGGTCTTGGGAATTTATACTTCGTAAATTACTCATTTTTTTTTAGGTCAATAGTCATCTTTATAAATAGATTTTCTTTCATATGCATTTAAGAAGTTTCTTATTACTGCTGGTTTTACAGTACCCTGAGATCGGAGGATATGTTTTAACAGAAGACGAAAAATGTCATCCCTAAAAAAAAAAATCCAAAGATGCATTTGGATAGCATATTTTTACTTCTGTGTAGAAATACTAGTTGCAAAATAAAATCATTACATTTACTATCAGAGGAGAGAACGCGTCGGCTAAGATAAGCAATGTGCATGGACCTTCATGACTGCAAAAATAAATAAATAAATAAATAAATAAATAAAATCTTTTTTTTTTCAAAGGGACGATTTTTTCATCGACACCGTTGTTATTTTAACTACGCTATATTCATTTACAAGGTTATGAAAGATTTATTATTTACTATTTTATAAAGAAATAAATATAAAAAGAAATCTTTTTATTCAAAAATTTAAAAAAAATTTACAAAATCATTAAATTAAAAATATAAACCATCTCGAATGCAATAAGTGTTAATTATCAATTTTACGTGTTCACTCCCTTGGTAAAAAGTTTATTGTTAAAAATAACATGAGAATTTACATTTTCTTTGTTCTTCGAGAATTCACAAAAATATTATTCACTATTTATTTATTAAATTGTTTATTTGCATTATTTACATTATTCGGACTATTATCCTCATCTTCATTGCCATATTCACAACGTTTCGGTCGTTGTACGCTCCGGCCTTCTTCAGGTGAATGGAATTTCGAACTGAATCCTTTATTTTGTCCACCGGGGTAGATTGTTCTAGTTCCACGTGCCATGACTCTTCCGGATGTTTCAGTTATTTCCCTTTAACTCAATTCTCTAAGTTTTTTGGTTCACAACTTTGGGATCTAGTCACTGGATTTAACCAACATCTTTATCTACTGGATAAAGACCGTCCAGTTGTTAATATGGCAATAGAGATGAGGATAACTGTCCGAATAATGTAAATAATACAAGTAATCATAATACTTCATCTCAGAGATATAGACAGATATTAGATTAAACAAATATAATTTTATATTTACGACATTCTTAAAATCCGAACCATCTAATAATAATGCAATATTCATCATTTATCATAAATATGAAAATAATGTTTTTCAAATTTTGAATAAAAAGATTTCTTTTCACGCTTATTTCTTTATAAAATGGTAAATAGTAAATATTTATAAAAAGTAAATATTTCTTTTAGAATCTGTTAAAAAGGCATTGCCGTAGTTAAAAAAATGGCGGTGTCAATTAAAAAACCGTCTTTTTGAAACGCCGTTTTTTTTATGGACATTAAGGTCCAGGTTTACCAGTTTCCTTTTGTCTTTATTCATATTATTATAATGCAAGGAGAGTGAAAGATATACATGCGAGTGTACAAATAGACAGAGCTCATAAAAAGAAAGAAAACGTTTATGGAATCAACGATAATGTATATGTCCGCACATAAGTTCGCCGCCTAGTTTGGTGAAATCAAGTAGTCGGCTTGCCGGTGGACTAAGAAGTCTCCCTCGGAAGGGAAGGCTGAATACGTCTTATAATTGCCGCATCATGTGAATGAGAGAGAAAAAATAAGAAAGAGTGAGTAAGTTCTTGCCTTTTATACCGATTATTACCATAGCATTCTAGCAGTGGGTCAGGGAAGCTCCCTGGTAGACAAGGTGAGGGTACTACGACATCTTCCATGCTCATAAGAGTGCTGTTGTTGCAAGAAGTTTAAAACTTGAATATCAATGAAAAAATGTTACTAATTCAACTAATCAGTTGTTCTATTAAAATGTAATCATTTAAAAAAATAGTTAATTCGAGTAATTTTTTCTAGACTAAATTACTCTCCATTAACCACCATAGAGATCCTTCCCTGCCCCCCATTATAATGTCTGATAGTCAACTTCCTGAGAGCAATTCCCTGCGTCTGCTCGGTCTCACGCTGACTGCTGACCTGAGATGGAACAAATACATTGAGTCAATTGCTTCTTCCACCGCTAGGAAAGTTGGCTCTCTGTGCCGCGCCAGGAAATTTTTCTGCCCTGAATCTATACTTCAAATATACAAAACAACCATTCTCCCTTGCATGGAGTATTGCTGCCATATATGGGCTGGGGCACCTTCTGCTTACCTCGGAGTTCTTGACAAGATCCAGAGACGGATATGTAATCTAATTGGCCCTGATCTGGCGTCTCGTCTGCAGTCACTCTCTCACAGACGCGCCGTCGCCTCTCTCTGTCTTTTCTACAAATACTTCCATGGTAACTGCTCTGACGAGCTGCTTTCACTGGTTCCCAGACTCCATGAATTCAAGCGCCCTACGTGGCTGGCATCCCGCTCCCACCCTTACACCGTAGAAACTCTCAAATGTAGCCGTCTCTTCTACTTCAATAGCTTCATACCTCGCACCTCTCGCTAGTGGAACACCCTCCCCAGTTACTGCTTCCCTGAAGGCTATAATCTCCAACTATTCAAATGTAATGTCAATCGACATCTCCAGTTACCTTGATCTACCCACTATCCTTCTCCTCATCCTTTCTTCTATCACTCCTATCTGCTCTCGCTCCAAATCTTCCGCAACCCCATGCATCCTAGTGGCTTCACGCCTTGCTTGGGGCGTAATGCTTAAAAAAAAAATGTATCTTCTTACTGGAATTATCCTCCCTATACAGTGAAGCGATTCTGAGAGAAGTAGAAGCCCTACCAGTATTCAATATTGGCGGAAACAATCGTGACAACATAAGATATGCATATGACACAATGTTGATAACAGTATCACAAGAAAGGAAACTGGAAGGTCTTCTATAGAAGAAGAAAGGACTAAGCATCAATTCCAAGAAGACAGAATATATGGATGTCAGGAAAAAGGAACAGCCTAACACTAATATACTAAACATTAAATCTGTTACGAAAAAATAAACAGAAAATGATCAGCTTTAAAAGAGGACTCGTAACTGGAAAAACCGAATGGAAAAAGAATGTTAACAACAAATACTTTTTCACACACAACCCAGTTCTGCAGAATCAGAATCAACATTGAGTTTAAGCAAGCGAATGAGCCAATTGGAATAAAGTGCTATGCAGATTTAAATTTTTCCCATTTGTGACGAATGCAGCTATCGATTTTTTTGCATGCTAGTTAATATCTGTGTCAGTCAGCTGTTGGCTCTCACGCTGACCAATAGAATCTTCCTGCCTTTTTGTGGCAGCCAGCTATTGGCTCTCACTCTGGCCAGTAGAAAATGGCCGCAAACTACATGAAAACTGCCGTAGAAGCATGAAAAATCGATTATTTCTACTATCGATGGGAGTTGGGATATGCAACGTCGGTCTTGGCCTTCCGGATAACTTG